AAAAAAGAATGCTATGAGTCTAAGAGTAACAAAAAAGTAGCAAGAAAGTAGAGAAAAATGGAAACGTATTCGGATCGTGCCGAAAAAGATATTTTGTGGTTTGATGGTACCTGATCGACTGATCTGTCCACTATAAGCAATTCGCATGTTTCTGTCGATGGGAAATTGGGGATGGAAGATTTATAATGTGAGATATTGTTCCAAATTGCTGAAGCCAGCTTCATAGGGATCAACTCACGAACGCTTGTGGCTGTGGTGGCATCAAGTCCTTTGGTAGCTTTACAACGCACGAAAGGAAATTCCTAAAATTATAAATTCTATTGAGTACAGAACAGAACAGAAATAATGTGATAGAAAACCAAACAGAACCCCCATTGTGCCATCTTACATATTAGTGGAAATTCAAAGGAAAATTTTGGCAATGCTATAAGGTCCATACAAATTAGTGGTGACAAGGAGCTACTTTCTAATGGCACTTGCACAATGTACAGACAGTTAATTTGGATTGCTGATACTCTTAGTTTCTCAAAGGCAAAGTTAAGAACATGATATAGAACCTTTAGTGAAGCAAAAACAGTCGCGATTCTCAATGCCATTTCATTCAAACACGTGTCAAATCTGCGGGAATTTTCTGCATTTTCAGCAAAGAGCTCTTCAAGTGCTCTTTCATGGTCCGTTACGAAACCCTGACATCAAAACTCATGCATCGGTTAAAATTATTGACTCCTATCCTTTACATTGCTTCCAAATGGGTATGTTTGGAATTTGTACAGAAAAATGAATCACCAGTACCTGGCTGTCGGTCGGGAAGTACTCCAGATTCATCTACAATTTGGCACATGTTGATAGATTAACAAAAACATATATTCCACCAGATACCATGTCGACCTAAAATCATATACATGTGCATATTGCTTGCTCACCTCTCTTAATGCACCAATACGCGGTAGAACACTACAGTCATTTTTTATGCGCGTTAAGAGGTCTTTTGGAACAGGTGAACTGAAGTATACATGTGCTCTGCATATCGAGGCAAAAAAATGAGCATTTGGCTTCCAGAGAACAAAATAAGCAGGACACAAGACGTTTGGAGATGAAAAATGTAACGTACTTCTTGTATAATGGTTCTCTTCCCGACATGTCAGACAAGAACATGACGACACTGACAAGGTCACACGAGACACAATCAAAGGTCAAACAAAAAGAATCCATGTTATAGATTCAAAAGGCAGCAATTAACAAACAGCTCCATGATTGCAATCAACAAGTATGAACAAGTCTAAACATCACAGAAAATACTTAAGAAAATAATCTCAGGTTACAGTTTCACTGCTACAGGTAATGAACAATAATGATAGTAAGTCGGAGTCTTTATACACTGAATTGCGGAAAAGGGAAAAGAGCCTAAAAGATAAAAAAAAAAAGATTGAAGAATGGGAGTGAATACTTTTCCTTGGAAGGTTGAATGAAATATATGGCATCCACTGAAGGCAGCGGCTCTCGTCTTCTAAAAAGGTCTTCCACCACTGCATGAAAGAGAAAGATAAACGAACACATTACATTGAAATTTCAAATTAAAATAATGGTAAAGAAGCAGTAGAACCACTTATATGAGGACTATAATTCACTTACACGAAACTCCGTGGTCTGTGATATCTGCCATTTTGCATGAATGGGACATCACTTTTAGTGTAACTTTGTCCATGATGAGTACCTGCATATAATCACGTATTTGAGTAGCAAAAATTAGTGCTGCATACAATATTCGGTGCCTTAAGAACGTAAGATAAATTTGACCCAGAAGAACATGTGCATCTTAAACCTGAAAGTTGTTGAAATCAGTAGCTATGGAAAACCGATTTCTTGACATACAAATACCTCATCGAGCAAAATTTATGAAATAGTAACCAAATTCTATCCAAAGTACTTATACGTTTAATATAGCCTTGGAGCTTCGTAAAAGTATATATGAAGTGAGATAAAGCGTACCTTCCATGCTGATCCTGCTTTTGACTGTTGGAGCATTTCATATAACAAACCTAAAAAGAGTTCCACCAAAATAATCAGCAAAAGCACTGCTAACAACAGCTATACTGAATGCAAGCTAAATCGAATAGCTCAATTGTGAATTCACATGAATTTTGATTAAAAAATGCAGCATAGCTATTCATTCAAAACAGAGACAATAATCAAAATCCCACAAGGAAACAACATGAATCCATTCATAGAAACACACAATCAGCACATCAAACCTCCATTCGAACATGCTTTTCTTCTTTCATTCATTTATTTTTTCGTTTTGGAAAAACATGAAACTACGGTTGCACATCAATCTCGTCGACCTCGACATACGAATCACGCATTCTCGTCCTGGAAAATCACCAAGTGGAAACATACGAACGGACGAAAGAAGGATCATGAGGACTTACGGTCGCGGCTGATTTGACGAAAGGTCTTGTACTCACCGCCGTGGAAGGATGAGTATTCGGAATCGGAGAATGACATTTTCCGGCGCCCGTCACCACGTTCGAGTGCGAATTTCCGAGATTAGTTGTTTTAATTTTATTTTATTTTAATTTTTTTTTTGTTGAAAAAAAATGGGATAAATGGAGGTGGCAGTGCGTTTTTGAAGGGAAAAGGCTGATAAATCTGTTATACTTGTGGGGACGCATAATTTGCTCCAACGCCTCGAGTTCTATGCACATTGCATTTTCCTCCATAACTAGTAGCATAAATAAATATTTATTTTAATTCAGTTAGTAAATTTTTTTGAGAGAAAGTGTTGAAATAAATTCAAAAATTTTCTTTGTGAGTTTATATTTATTTTTATTGTATTTTATGCTTATATTATTAGAATATTTTATAAATAAGTGTATAAATGTAAGTATTTAAAATTAATTATTATTTTATATTTTTAAATAAATATTTTTTCATATATTTATTTAACTATTTGCTTTGTTTATTTCATCATTTTAATGTAATGAACATAAAACAGGGGCTAGGACAATAATGAGACTAGTCGAGCTCGCTAACACCCCATACGATGAGGGGCAAAAGGAGGAATCCGTCCAAGGAGGGCTTGTGTCTGATTAGCTAGTTGGTGAGGCAATAGCTTACCAACGTCATGATCAGTAATTGGTCCGAGAGGATGATCAGTCACACTAAGCCTAAGACACTACACTTATTCCTACAGGAGGCAGCAATGAGGAATTTTCTGGGTTCAACTCGTTAAGTAAACGAGCAAGAAACTGAACTCGAGTTTGGTTCGTTAACATTGATAAACAAGTTGCATTCGAGTCTTAACGAACAGATATCGAGCTTTTACGGGCTGAAGGATAGAAATTATATAAAAAAAATATCTTTTCAAACCCGTATCGAACAAAACAAGCTTCAAGCAAGCCGAGCCGAGCCAAACTTCAGCCTTAACGATCCGAGTCGAGCCAAACTCACGGGCGACTCTTTTCATTTAACAACTCTAATTTTAAAACATACAATAAGTATTTAATGGCTTTATTTGTTTTGTTCCTATTTATTATTTTTTGTTCTTCCACGGTTTCAGTCATACAGTGTAAGAAACGGGGAGAAAACGGGTACGGTTCCATGCACGTGAAGCGCACCATAAGCAGGGAAAGCCCAGATGAAGTCTAAGTGGGGTTCCATTGCAAAATCAATTGGTGGAAGGAGGAGTAGCCCATTAGATTTATAAATTAGACCTATTTTCCCTATATAAATGATATGGACAACTCACAAGTGAATATTCTAATATACAGTGATACAGAAGACCCATATCTAACCCGTCTTTATTATAGAAATGGGCCGAATGCAACAAATCAACACTAACGGACCTACCAGGGCACCGCTTGGGCACCCATCTGACAAACACTTCAATGATCTTCACCCAGCGGCCCACATAAATACATGTAACCAGAATTTTGTGAAATACGAGCAAAATAGCATGGCATGCTTTTTAATTTATGACCATTTGATAATTGCTAATCCATAAATAAACAAAGAATCTATACTTATATTAAAGGCTATACTATTTACTAAATGTAGTATGTAGAATAGTCAACCCTAATTAATGATTTGCTATTTTTATCAATCATTTAATTAATGCATCTAATATTATTGGTATGCAAATCAAATTAGCATTTAATTAGTTCCTAAAATATTGGGTATGCAATATTAATTTAGGAATATCTATGTAGTTCCTAAAATGTAGGTATGCAATACGTAAATGAAAATTTTTTATTTTTTTTAAATATAAAATATTGCAACACTTACAACTATTCCAGTTATTTTTTTATTTTATTTTACATATAAAATTTAATCAATATTTAATGCATCCTACAAAATTGGATTTAGTTTAATTCTCCATACAATTGGTTGTGAAATTAAGGAAGTGTGGAATGGTTGTGATTAGAGTAAATAAGGTTAATTTAGTCAATTTATTCATTAATTAATGTCTCCTTAATATTTGTGCAATAACCTTAAATGCCTTATATTTCAAAATGGAGGGAGTATAAATTAAAACAGTTAATGAATATTGATAAACATAAAATAATTTTAATTAAATCATATTTATACATGTTTATTTGAATTGTTCTATATTATTTTTATCTATACAATAATAGTAATGTCTTTATTTATTCAGAAATTATGAAAATTATGTTATTTTCGAAACATTTTACAAAAAAGTTTTAAGAAGTGTCATTAATGAGACGAATACCTTTTATTTTTATTTTCGAGTATCGCTAATGTCTTGTTAAGTTAAATATATTTCATTTGAAAAATTCATGATAAAAAAACATATGGTATTGTAGCCACAATCATTTATATGTAGTTGTTTCTAGAATCACAGATCCATGTTGTCTGATGATTATCATTTATGCTGATAATAGTGATAATGAATACAATTCATCCACTAATATTATATTTAGAAAAATTATTTTAAAATATATAAAAATATATAGTATTTTGTAGTCACAATTAATTATATGTAGTTGTTTCTAGAGTCATGGGTCCACTTTGTCTGATGATTATTATTTATAATGACAATAGTGATAGTGGATACAATTCATCCACTAATATTATATTTCGAAAAAATATTTTAATATATAATAAATAAAATTTTCATCCATGTCATATTTAACACCAAGTTGCGTAACACGCAGTTGGCGTAATAGTTTTTTTGTGTTAAAAACATGTAAGTAAGGTAAGTGATTTGGTAGGAAAAATTAGTTTGGGGGTGAGATATTTTTATATGTCATGACAAATATAGCCAGGGTGCAATTGCCAATTGGTTCTCTCAATACTTAATTGTGTTTGACAACATTGCGAATGTGTTGTGAGGCAAAATGAGGGACAGTACATTTCAATTTAAAATCACCTTGTACTTAAGCACTGTAATTAATACAAGTACAAATAATTAAAGTGCCCCACAGAATTATTACAGAACCTTTAAGTCCCCCTTGCTATGGCACCTAACCATAGTACTAAGGCCAAATGTTAATTCTACTCAATCCTGTGTGCACATGCACATGTTACAAAAATAAATAAATATTATATATAAAAACTTTAATCAAAATAAAATTTTATAATTAAATGTGATATAAATATTATATTATATTTATTATTAAATCGTTATATTAGTGACTCTTATTTAGATTTTTATACATGAATGAAAAAAAAAAAAAACAATATGAATTTTATTGTTATAATTAACCCCTTCCAGAAAGAGCGGAAAATGAAAAAATTTAGCATTAATGGGATAGCCTTTAATTATATATATAGAGATTAGACAAACTAGATAGAGCATCCACATCATTATTCATTTATTTAAGCATCAATCACACATTCTCTCTTCCACATCATCATTTCACTAAACATTCATCTATCTATACTTATATTAAAGGCTATACTATTTACTAAATGTAGTATGTAGAATAGTCAACCCTAATTAATGATTTGCTATTTTTATCAATCATTTAATTAATGCATCTAATATTATTGGTATGCAAATCAAATTAGCATTTAATTAGTTCCTAAAATATTGGGTATGCAATATTAATTTAGGAATATCTATGTAGTTCCTAAAATGTAGGTATGCAATACGTAAATGAAAATTTTTTATTTTTTTTAAATATAAAATATTGCAACACTTACAACTATTCCAGTTATTTTTTTATTTTATTTTACATATAAAATTTAATCAATATTTAATGCATCCTACAAAATTGGATTTAGTTTAATTCTCCATACAATTGGTTGTAACTTTTTCAGTTGTACTTTTTTATTTATTTATTTTACACTTTTAAATTAATGAAGCTCTCCGAAAATACCAAATCAAATGATTTATGAAAATTTTTATTTTTTTTACAATTTTACATCTATATACCCAGCTTAAAAAACTCATCGCGTGGACGAGTTTAAGAAGATTTCATAACCCAGCTTATAAAATTTCATCTACACCAGTAAAAAAAATCACATCCCTCATCTATCGTAACAACTTTAAACGTAAATAAACAAAAGTCTAATTACTACTATAAATCCATTATCTATATAGATACATCCCTCATCTATCGTAACAACTTTAAACGTAAATAAACAAAAGTCTAATTACTACTATAAATCCATTATGATTTTTTAAAAATGTAAATTTCACCTGTCTCATTATTAATATTTTAGATACTTTTAAATATTATTTGTATAATTTTTTTACACATTTGCTCTCTCTCTCTCTCTCTCTCTCTCTATATATATATATATATATATATATATATATATATATATATACATATATGAAGGTTAAATGAAGAATTTTTAGACATATTTTCCTTACGGGTAGTTTAGAAAAATTTAGGTAGCTTCAAACATTATTAGTGAATAATATAGAATATTTTAGATGCTTTTATAGATGTTATAAAATATTTTAAGTATTTTTAAATATTTTAAGTATTTTTGATATTTATATATCACACTTAAAAAGAATATTTTGCCAAAAAAAAACATTAAATACACATTGTAAATGTTAATAGAAACAGTCTTCAGTATTCATCTTTGATTTTGTCAAAACAAATCTTATAAAATCGGTGAAGTCAAAATTTGTACGTAAAGTCTATCTATACTAAAAAAAAGGTAGATTCAAAATTCTTTATCTAATTTCTTTTTTTTCCTTATCTAATTCATTCTTATTATCTAATTGTATAGAAATCTGTTCTGATTTTGTGTAATCCTCTAATTGTATTTGTATCATATCCGATAAAATCGGTTTAACAAAAAAAATCCCATAACATCGGATAAGTAAAAAAAGTACGTAAAATCTTTATTAAAATAAAAAGGCTTTATTTATTATCTAATTTATTATCTAATTGTATGGAAATCTGTTCTGATTTTATATTACGTACTACAAATTGTGCACCCGTGTTCAGGAGCTACTTAACCGGCAAGCTATGTGGAAATAACTCATTTAGTGCTTCTCTCCCGTGCATACGGTATGTATTTGTATTACACATACTAGAAAATTGTGCACCCCGTGCATCGCACGGACTCTGTACTAATAAATGACCTTAAAATTGTGCACCCCGTGCATCACCCGTGTTCACATTTTGGCCTATTACAGGTCACGTACTATATATATCCTGTACATTTTTCTTTGTTCATTTATATAATTATAAAACTTGATAAATAACCTTAATTTTGTGCACCTCGTGCATCGCACGGGATCTGTACTAGTTAATGACTAATAATAAGAGTAACATTTTATTGTGCCTAAATTGATGGTTTGTACTATGTGTTATTTCCAGATAAAGGTATAGACAAACGAGAACCGAACCATCAACCATGCTATTTCCGGTGATGTTTTCTACCCAGTGGACATGTCTAAATATATATATCTACCCAATAAGTAACTTATAATGTGATTTTGGCCATTTATATCATAAAATTACGTGAACTTCTGTATATGAAAATTTGAAAATCTTGAGAAAAACTTGACATGAATAAATCCAACAAGCAAATTATTTAGCACAAATTTTTATTCCATTTTGCCACTTATACTGCAGCATCACAACAATCAAGCAACTAGAAAAAAACACACAATTGAGACTAGTAAACATGAAAAATATGAAAATGACAATCACCAAATATGAAATTACAAACTAAACAAGAACAATCTAAAGAAAGCCCTTCTCTTTGCAGCTTTTGATTGCCCCATCAAACATCTCCGCAAGCCCGTTTTCATACTTGAACCCAGTTTCCTCCAGCTTTTTCGTCGATAGGCCCGAAAATTTAAGCGGTATTATGTCCTTCCACGATCTGCACGTACAAAATTCGAAATACCTCCTCATTTCAAATTCCCCACAAAAAAAACTCTAAATAAAAATGGCAACAAATAATAATAAAAAAAAAAAGAACTTACTCTGGATCAGGCATCTTGTATTCAGGGTACCTAGCCGAAATAAATTCGCTTAATTTTTCTATAGTAAACTCGACAGCCGCACAAATGTATCGCCCTTTTGCTTCCGAATACTCGAACAGATGTATATGAGCTCTTGCAACATCGTCAACGTGAATCAAACTTGTGTCCTTAACGTGCTGGTAATGTGCCTTGTCACCTGACTCGGGAAATAATTCTCAGAAATTGAGCTCATAAAAAAATAACATTTTTGCTAACAATTAATTGCTACCAAACATAATTTATTTCGTCGTATTCTATAATTCAGTAGTTCTTCTATTAGTCCGACATACTATTTTACCAAATATAGTAAAAACTCTCATTTTTAGTTTTTAAAGTCAAACGTAAGTAGAAATATGACATCACTTATAATCTGATTAGGGGTCAATTTTTAAATTGTAAACCCGAATTTGTTTGGATTCACCAAAGATCGAGGCCATGGACACATAAATTCAAAAAACGATATAAACAAAAGTATGGCATTTAAATAAGTGAAAAGAATTTGTTGGGCTCACCAAAGATCAATGCCATGGACACATAAACCGAGTCCGGTAAATGCGGGCAGATAAACGGGCCCGTGACCCAAGTGGGCACGACACAAACAAGGTCAAGCCCGAGTTCGTTTGCGCACTCAACGGCGGCCCTCTCTGCCAGCGTCTTGGTGACCATGTAGGGCCCACCGAAAGCCTTCTGGCTCCTCACAAAGTCCACGTCGGTCCAACAGCTCTCGTCTAATAGGCCCGATGGGCCGCGCTTGGTGGTGCCGGCCGCAGCCGATATGCTTGAGGTGTAGACCACGCGTCGGACGGTCTTGGCATCCGCGCAGGCCCCAAGTATGGCTCGCATGCCAGTCGTGACCCGGTGGACCTTAACGTCCTCGGGCTCCTTCTCCTGGAAATCGAGAGGGTGGGCCATGTGGAAAAGCCCGATGCAGCCCTCGATCGCGGGCCCGAAGGTTTCGGGCTTGTCGAGGTCCGCGTTGAAGATTTTGAGCCGCTCGGCCGCACCCGGGAGGCTCGTGAGGTAGCTGATGTCCCTCTTGCGCTCTGGTAAAAACGAAACAGTCAGACAGTCATACACTTTATTTTGACAAAAAAACAAATCGCAAAAATTGCATATTTGTGTTACTTTGTTTAAACATTGTTTAATTAATGTACGATATTTGAATAGGAAAATATTTATATTTGTTGGATGAGTATGTTTTTAAAGTGTGGTATTGAAAGATTATTAGGTAATTACTAAGTCTTGAATGACGTGAATAAACCTGGATCGATCCTTGAAGTTGTGTTGACTTGATAGCCATCTTCAAGAAGCCGTTTGACCATCCATGAACCAAGGAAACCGGTTCCTCCGGTCACACAAACTCTACCTTTCTCACTCTTCACCACCATTCTCTCTCTAATTAGAATTTTTTTTTCTCTCTCTTTTGGGGTGTGTTTTTGTTTTTCCTTCTATGCTGTGATGCAAAAGGGAGCCATGCATCATATGCTTATATAATAGTTTGAACAATATCCCTCGGGGTCATTCTTGTCTTTTCAGACTCGAGGCCTACAAAAATAAATTTCATCACATGAACTTCCTGGCAAGTTTTTATAGATAATATGGACGTCAGATCTGTTAGATAGACTATTTAACCATCATACCAATATATTCATTCTAAAAAAAATAAATGTTTTCATTACAAAATATTGTAACTTAAAAACTAATTTAAATAAAAATATATTTACTGATGTATGTAATATGTATGCATCTTTATTTATACAATAGGTTTTTTGTTAGACCGGTCCAACTATATTTATACTCACAATATACATATTTTCATTTAAAAATGTCATACTTTAAAATATAACATAGTACACAGAAATACTAAATATTTATTGTAGAATAAATATTTACGTTCAAATAATATGACGAGTCGATTTTATTGTTTTTAAAATAATATTAGTCAACCGCCTAAACGTTAGATAATTCGTACAATAATTTGTGCAGTTATTGAGGTTTTCCTTTCACGAGACCGTACACGTCAGAAAATGTTTTTAAATTTGGGTCAGTTGTTAATGTGTGTCTTCAATGCATGACGGGGCCACGTTTTATGGCTGTATTTTATTTCTGGTCAGTAGTTGTCGCTTGAGATATGTATAATGTATTCCACGTTTTATTATTTTATTTTCCTTTTTTAGTTAGATGCATTGTTATAAGCATTATTGCCATTTGTTTGTTTTTTTTTTTTCTTAAAATTTGTTCTCAACATTTAAATTTCTATAATAATGTCAGACTCAATTAACTTTTGATCGATCACGCTGGCAAAATTCCATACCAGCTAACATTGATTTAGTTAAAAAAAAAATAATTAATATTAATTTAATGAAAACAAAAATAAAAAAAATAATAATAATTCATCAAAATTGTGGTTGTGTTTTACATGTGTATGCAAAAATACGAGGTTAAAACCCTATAAATTAGTGGGCAGGTAGAACTAAATTCACCTTCCGAATTGTTGAAATATTTTGAAAGCGTTTATTTATAAAAAATTTTAATTTGTTGGGATTTTTTGGTTTGGTTTTGTTAATTTTTAAAAAGGTGATATGATTAGTTGTTACTGTGTATATTAAAATAATATTTAAAATAATATAATATAAAATTGATTTGATGTAAAAGTAGAAAAGAGATGAAATAATATTTAAAATAAAATAATATAAAATTAATTTGATGTAAAGTAGGAGAGAGATGATTTGAAGTGATGGTTAGTTAAAATTGGGTGAATGAATAGTGAATTAAGGTTAATGTGGTATGTAAGAATGATTGATTGATATTGTTAGAATATCACTTGTGAGTTGTCTCACATCGTTCATATATGGAAAATAGGCCCACCTTATAAGACTAATGGGCTACTCCTCCTTCCATCAATTGATTTTGGGATGGAACCTCATTTGGGCTTCATATGGGCTTTTCCCTTCTTTCATGGTGTCCTTCATGGTAGTGGGCCAGCACCCATTTTCCCCCAATTTCTGTCATGGTATCAGAGCCGGTTCTATCTTGGACCGTGTGATGACGTACACATTGTTTATCCCCCATGTACCCGTTTATGGGAGCCTGTTTGTAGTAGGGCTTGGGGCACCCAGCCCAGTTGGGCTTGGGCTTTCTAGACCCACCTTATAAGACTAATAGGCTACTCCTCCTTCCACCAATTGGTTTTGGGATGGAACCCCATTTGGGTTTCATATGGGTTTTTCCCTTCTTTCATGGTGTCCTTCATGGTAGTGGGCCAGCACCCATTTTCCCCCAGTTTCTGTCAGATATTATTTAATTATATTGATATTTAATAATATTGATGATAGTGATGTTGAGTTAAAAAAAAAATAATTGAGTTAAAATGTTAAATTTTTTTTAAAAATCCTATAAACAAACATGCTTTACGTCGTTTACCTACAAATTCCAATTTATTTGTAAATTTTATATGTTTTTTTCAGTTTTCTATTTATTTTGAACATTTGCATTTAAAAAAATAACAAAAAAAAAAAAAGAAAAAACAGTTTCCGTGTGAGATATATTTCTTCGCGAATAAAATTATTGTGCTACAGACAAATTCTTGTGTCAAACATAGCTAGGCTAGCCGGATCTGACCTCGTATCAATACTTATAATATCAAATGTTATATTTTTATTCATATTATCATTTCTAAAATATGGCAATTTTAATGAAAATGTACATATTTGTAGAAAAAAATTAGATCGAACTAATGATTAGACCTATCTAACAAAAAAATGAAAATGTAATATTTGTATGAAAAAATTAGATTGAACTAATGATTAGACTGATCTAACAAAAAAACCCAACTATGATACAAATGTATTATATTTTGAGACTTTCTCATAACATTACAACAAGCAATAAACCAACTGATACAGACATTATAACACATAACAAAAACATACATAATACCAACAATAACATCTAAGAATGATAATAAATCTAATTAAAGAAAGCCCTTCTCCTTGCAGCTTTTGATTGCACCATCAAACATTTCAGCAAGCCCGTTTTCATACTCGAACCCGGTTTCCTCAAGTTTCTTTGTCGACAGGCCCGAAGCTTTAAGCGGTATTATATCCTTCCATGATCTGCACATGTAATTAATGACACATGATTTCAAATGTATGTGATCCGACAGATAAAACTCGGAATAAAGAAGAAAAAAAAAAAAGATGGACAAAAGTTAAACATAAGTAAGTAAAAATTGTAACTTACTCTGGATCAGGCATCTTATATTCAGGGTCCCTAGCTGAAATAAACTCACATAATTGCTCTATAGTAATCTCAATAGCCGAGCAAAGGTATCGACCTTTCGCCTTGGGATACTCAAACAAATGTATGTGAGCTCTTGCAACATCGTCAACATGAACCATACTCGTGTCCTTAAGGTGCCGATAATGTGTCTTATCGTCTGCCATAGTGCCATAAAAAAATTAGATATACATTGTCTAGTGCAAAATAGGCCTGTAAACGAGCTCAAGATGATCTTGAGTTTTAACAAGCCCAACTATAAAAAAAGTTATATAAAATTCTATTTTTGAGCCTTAACGAGCCGTGCTCGAGTCAAGTCGAACCACGCTCGTTTAATTTAAAATCATTAGTGAAAAGTAAGGTTTTTTTAAGTGAAAAAAGCTTGACTCACCGAAAATCAAGGCCATGGAGACGTAAACCGAGTCGGGTAAATGCGGGCATATAAAAGGGCCCGTGATCCAAGTGGGCAAGACGGTAACAATTTCGAGCCCGAGCTTGTCCGCGCAATCGATGGCAGCTTTCTCGGCTAGTGTCTTGGTGACGAAATACGGGCCCCCGAAAATCCCCTGCCTCCTCACGAACTCCACATCGGTCCAACAACTCTCGTCGATAAGGCCCGATGGGCCCGGTGTTGCGCCTAGAAATGCGGCCGAAAGGCTGGAGGTGTACACCACTCGCCTCACGGTCTTGGCGTCAATGCAGGCCTGCAGGATGGCCTGCAGGCCCGTTGTGACCCGTTTGATCTTCACGTCTTCGGGCTCGGATTCTTGGAAGTCCAGTGGGTGGGCCACGTGGAAAAGCCCAATACATCCCTCGATTGCGGGCCTGAAGGTTTCGGGATTGTCGAGGTCCGCGTTGAAGATTTGTAGCCTTTCGGAGGCGCCCGGTAGGTTCGTTAGGAAGCTAATGTCCCTTTTGCGCTCTAACATTTTATCATATAAATATATATTTTTATTTACAATTATTTTTCAAAATGGAGATTAATGAATGTTAATTAATTAATGAACCTGGATCAAGCCTGGAAGTTGTGTTGACAGAATACCCATCTTCAAGAAGCCTTTTCACCATCCAAGAGCCAAGATAACCTGTTCCACCAGTCACACATACTCTACCTTTCTTGCTATCCATTATTATTATCTTTTTCTTTTTTGTTGGGCTCTCTTTTTTATTACTTTGCTTCTACTCAGTGTTAGCCATAATATATATTCACATCCATTCACATATTCACTGGCCTTTGCTGGATATATTATATTATATTATATTAATCAATTATTGAGGGCAAATTGATGATTATATATTAATTATTCAAGCATTTGGTCAATAATGACTTGTTGCATGTGCATGGGGCCCATAAACTATTAAACTAGATACCCTTCCCAATAGGTAATCTAGAAAATTCAACTTTGTACAAGATAGGCCTGTGAAAATTTGTTGCAATTAACTCTGTACTCAGTGACTGAATACTTTTCAATAAAAATAGTGTTAGGTTTGCTCATGAGTCACAATCACTATATATATATTGGAAAAAGCTTTGGCCTTTTTTGTATACTAATGATAATGATTTGATACATTGTATAAAACATGCATCCTATTACAGTGAAGGATTATGGAA